AGAGGGACATCGTGTCTGAAATGCATACCTTGGTTACAAATAAATACTTAAGGTTCATTATTATCTGAGTGAGTTTTTGATAGTGTGTGATAAGTCCTAAAAAGAGCTATTTATAGTGCTCAGATAATTACCATGTAATAAGCAATTGATGATAGAACATAGTATAATACTTTCCTTAATATAATATACCTTACCTGTATTGATCAAAACTTCTAATAGGCTAAAAATCAATTACAAAATTTTGATAAATTTATGCAAGTATTTGAATAGATTTTTATATTTTACTTTTATAAAGAAATTTGTTAATTTGATATTTAAATCAACAGTTATACATGTTATAAGAGATTATTTTAATAGATAAAGTAAAAATTAGGCTTATTGTATGCATAAATTTCTTTATTTGATTAATATGTTCTTCCAGGCCAGCTTATCTAGAACACTGCTTCCTTTCCAGACTGTGCTGGCTGTCTATCAACCATTCAACATCCATTTCAAAACGATAGCCCAACATTAAGATGCATAGTTTGATCCAATTTTTTTGAATAAAGAGCAGAACACCAACTGAAATTCATTGCAAACTTGTTGAACTTTATGAATCTAATGACTTGTTGAACTTTATGAATCTAATGATGGATATCACAGACAGGGCTGCAGAGTTGGCAACTTTTTTTGGTTGACTTCAACATCACCTTGTATCTGTATATATTTATCATTTTATCACTGACATGTAATTCAATAGTCTAATTTACTAATTAGCAAAACACAGGTGATATAATGATAATTGGAGGATTATAACTATGTTTTTTTTTTTACTTTATTTAAAAGGCAAAAATTTACAATCCAAATATATAGAAATAACTGCCAAATTTCAAATTTTAGATTCATTCAGTTCTAGGATATAGTCAAATTTTACGACACTTGACACACACACACACACACACACACACAATACTTTCTCTTTGTTACATTCTATAACAACCAGGAAAGTAAAAATAATTATAAAATACAGTCGACCCCCCTATAAGATCATAGATATGTTCCATTCTTTAGGAATCCGATTTCTTACGAGTCCTTCCAATCACAGTCCAACTTGTGTCAAGTTTACTGACTACGGCTGTTTGAAAAGTTTTCTTCCATAAAATTAATCGATTCTAGACTAATCCGACTCAACATTTCCAAAACACATATATATTTTTTGGAAATAATCCGTATAAACTATGCTATAAATAAAAAATTGTAGGATTACTTACCGAGTGTGCACCATTCGACATCGCCATTGCTAAAGCTTGTTTTCGTCGCAGAACAGCTCAGCAAACAGCGGCCGATTTCTAATAACTTATTTTTCTGTGAAAACTTCATTGAACTTTGGAGACATCATTAATATAAATAATTTTAATAACCGTTGAATAAGAAATGTTTCTTTCACAAGAAATGTATAAAATTACAGTACTGTATTAGACTTACGGTACCTAATTTACATACTC